CCTGTGGGATTTAACAGGAGCAGATTCACACCCCAGAGCTTTGGCAGCTGCAGCACCTGCTCCCCTTTCCCTTCCCAGGAAATCCCTGGAGCCCCAGCATGGCCTGAGCCACCCAAGGTCATCCCGACCTTCAGCCATCCCTGCACTGGCAGGAACCTGGTCTGTGAGGAGAATGAGGAGACAGCTCCAGGGTGGCAGAGCCTGAGGGCAGCTCCTTGCTAATCCTTGGCATAAACACCAGCTCATGCCCAGAGGAGGCAGGAGAGACAGCAGCACAGCCTGACCTGCCAGAGAACCCAGAACCCTGCAAGTCCCAGAGGAGCCAGGCCAGCTCCCACATCCCCAGGGATGCTGCCAGGAAGGGGCAGCATGGACCAGGCACACAGCCCTCAAAACAGGCGGGGTTGATCCTGCCCAGAGCCCGGCAATATGGACCTTGTGTGCCACCCAAGGCAGCATGTCCACAGCCAGACACAGGCACAAATTTGCTGCAGCTGCCACCAGGAAGGTGGGCAAAGCACGACTGAACCAAGTTCCATCAGTTCTCAGCTTGCAGCCTTCCCTAGGAAGGGCTCACCTGCAGAAGGGAGGATTTTGGGGAGGGCTGCAGACCCTCCAGGAGCTCAGCAGTGCCCTTACAAAGTGCTCCACGTTGCCCTGATGAACACCGGGCAATGACCAGCGTCCCTTCTTCCCTTGCAGGGTAAACCCGTTCCCTAAGTTGGGAGTAGTCCCCAGGTCAGGCACTTCTCCACTGGAAGAGATTTTCCTCCTAGCCCAGACAGGAGCTGACTGGTGCCTGTTCCTTATCTGTGAGATCTGGGCTGCATGGGGAAAGCATGTTGTGGCACAGGATCCAGCTGGGCAAGAGGGTCAGGAATTGAGATGGGAAAGGAAGGGAAAGGGGGAGGTGGACAGGGATGGGGCAGCAGCGAGGGGTGAGCAAGCACCTGGGAGTCAGGAGAGGCAGTGGATGTAGGATGGACACAGTGTCCTGCATCCCAATGGCCACGGGGACAGGGTCTGGCTTGTAAAAAAACCCAAACCCACCAGCACAGATCCATCCACAGCCCCCCCGGGGACACCCCAAAACTGAACCATTGGGGTCCACAGACAAAGGAGCTTAAGCCTGGGCTGCAGCTCTGCTTGTGGGGACTGCAATCAGAGGCTTCCAGCAGATGCAGGGACTGTCCACGGCTGGATCAGGCTTTAATACTGCATTTAAAAACCAAAGCCAAGCCCAAAGCCCAAGGGGAGGAGGAGCAGGGATCTAACACCAGGGCAGGAGGGGTGAGTGGGGCCACAGAGCTTTGTCCCAAGGCCCCGTGGCACTGGGATGCCCGGATGCAGCGTGCCCGTTAGCAAACGTCGACCATCAATTATTGATGCCTGCTGCTTTCAGGTCCCATTTTCCATGTACATAATTTATAGGCAGCTCGCCTGGAAGGATGCGGCCACGTGGAAAAAAAACAACCCCAAGAGCAAAGTGCCTTCGGAGCCGCCTGAAACAGCACAGCCAGGGGAGAATGGGGCCATCAGGAGCTTTTGCTGCCGCTGACTTGAGGCAAGAGCAGGAGATGGTAAAAAAAAAATATTTAAACCTGAAGAAGAGCTGCCCCAGCACCAGGAAAAAGCTGGAAAATGGAGCACAGGCTCTCTGTGATGGCCCCAGCCATAGTTTGGTGGGTGCTGGGGGCTCCTGTAGGATGGGCAGAGTGGGCAAGGATCATGCTGCTGTCACCCAGTCTCCCTGCCAGGGATCGGAAGCATCCCTGCAGGTTCCCAGCACAGCCCCAAGAGGCTTCAGCTCCCCCTTCACAGCAAACAGCACCAGCCCTGCACTCCCTCCCAGGGAAGGTCCTCCAAACCCCTTGTCATTTAACAAAAGCCTTGAGTTGTGTCAGGCTCTTCCAGGGAAGCACCAGGGAAAGCCCAGGGCATTGGCACAGGAGCGTGTCGGTGACTCCACGGGCACTGGCAGGTGGCAGAGGAGGGAAGCACCTTCCCAGGCACAGCCACCTTATTACCAGCTAATTGTAAATCCTTACCCAACGCCTACTCCCGGGGAAGGAGAGCCTGTCAAGGACGGTCACATCTCAGGAAGGGCTGCTGGAAAGGAGGAATAAACCCAAACTGCCTGAGGTTCCTGGTAAAAAAAGTGTGTCCTGCACATCTGCCAGCACCAGCACACAGGACACATCTGGCACCAGCTGCCAAGCCCTTTTCCCCATGAGTGCCAGGGATGCCACCCTGCTCAGGTGCACAGAGAAGGGCGAGAACCCCACAGGCACAGACCCTGGTGTGTGCCATGGCTGTGCCTGTGGCTCTGGCACACAGAGGCACATGTCCTGCACTGTCCCCTGAGCCACCACTGCCCTGATGGGGTCTTGCTTAGCTTTGGTACTGCAAACTCTGGCTCTCCAAAGCAGTTAAAATAGAACAGCTCGTTCCCAGCCCATCCACACGGTCCCAGGGAGGGAAGGACTGGGTTTGCACAGCCTGTGGTCAGCCCAGCCTGGTGGCCATGGCACAGTGCTGGCACAGGGATACCCTGCGGCAGTGAGTGCCAGCATAGGGTGCTGTGATGGTTAAAAGGCTCTGGGTGCCCCTGGGCAGCCCATTATTTAATTCAGTGCTCTAAAGCAGGCAAACAGGACCAGCAGCAGCTGGAGGTGATGCCAAACCCTGTCTGCAGCACTGCTGCGTCAGCCCTTGCCCGCCCAGGCAGTGCCACCACTGAGTCCCCCAGGACAGGGGTTGTCACTGCCGGGTTAATCCCTGTGCTCCTGTGCCCAGCCAGTGCCCTACTCCTGGTCCCACGTGCCCCACTCCTGGTCCCACGTGCCCCACTCCTGGTCCCACGTGCCCCAGGGGAGCTCGGTGCCAACCACAGCCAGTGACAGGGGCTGCAAGCGGGGGACTTGCCCCACAGCCATCCCACTAGCCAGGCAGTGGGCTCCATAAACAGCCTGTGCTGGCTCTCCCTCCTATTGCCTTTAACAGCCACTGAAGTAAACCCGAGCCTTTGTTTCAAAATTCTGGCTTAATTAATGCCATTTACACCTTGCCTGGAGGGGATGGGACCCCCAGGATGGGGAGATGTTTAACTGGGACAAGACACAGCTACCCTATTCCCACGGGCTGCACTGGCCGTCCCAAGCGAGCCTGCAGCCCGACGGACAAAGCCACATCCACAGAGAGAGGGAAATGCCCCAGGGTCCATGAGATCCCACTCCAGGGCCACAGCTTCCAAAGCCAGCGGCTGTTTCCAGCCGGCATCGGAGGCGTGAGAAGCGCTGCCGGCACGGAGGAATCGGCTCCGCCACCCGGCACATCCCCCCTCTTCAGGCTGCCGGCAGCGCTGAAGGCAAATCCCACTCGGATTAAAGGCAGACCAGCCATAATCTCCCACTGCCACCAGCCTGCCCTCGTCCCAGTGCAGATGGCCATGTCACCTGAACACCTCCTGCCCCTGTCCCCAGCCAGCACCAGGACCATTCCCCATCTCTGCCCAGGCCCCACCAGTGGGACCAGCCCAGCTGAGCACATCCAGGAGCCCCAGTTTCTCCCTGGAAGCCGGAGTTAAGCATCATCCTGGTGACCTCTGCCAGCTGAGATGAGTTTGGAAGTGCTCAGCTGGGTGCACTTGCTCCCTCAGAACAGGGCACAGGACTTGCAGCCTCCACCCTTTCATACCCAGACATTTCAAGGGCCCCTAAATAAGACACAGTCACAAGGAAAAAACCCTTAATTAATGGAGCCACAGCCCCTGCAAAGAGCAAACCCATGGATGGGGTGGTCCAGCTTCACCTGGCATCAAGGTGACAGAGGCCTTGAAACCATGTAAAAGACGGAGCTGGAGAAGCCCATCAGGAGGCCAGGCTGCCAAGGACCGGCCATCTCCAGCCAGCTGTGAAACCTATTTTAGGTTAAAATGAAAAAAAAAAAAAAAAAGACAAGTGCAGCTTTCCAGGACAAGCGCAGGGTTTGTGTTGGCTGTAATTCTTCCTAAGGAGGTCTTTAGTCGTAATTAGCGAGCAATTTGTCACAGCGCTAACGATCCAAGCATTTACCTTATCCTATTAACTACCAAAATAGTTGCCTATTAATAATATTCAGTGCCGCAAGGATCCTGTGGCAATCCCGACACACACACACAGGGAGCTCCGGGGCATCGTTTCCTGATTGCCGGTATTTTTGCGGCTCTGAAGCGCTGCCGGACCCCATCGCCTCCCCCCCCCGTGCCCCCCCCCCCCCCCCCCCCCCCCCCCCGGACACCCGCTCAGCCTGGTCCTTGCAGGGAAAAGTGAGGCATGGAGAGGAGGGACGGATTCTCCAAGGTCACGCACAAGGTTTGAGACAGGGCCAGATTCGGGAGCAGGAGATGCATCATCACCGAGCCTCCAGGCAGGGAGGGGAGCCGGGAAGGCAGAGGCTGGGGTGCTGCTGTGGGGCAGAGCCCTGGGAAGGAGGGATCCCCTCCAATCCCTCCCACCCCAGCCTCCCTCATCCTCCCGGGAATTTAAACCCAGGATTTTCCCGAGCAGCCAGCAACGGATCGACAGGCTATAAACACAAAAAGCCCCTTCAGAGCTCGGTGCCGCAGAACACGGGTACAGAAATAATTATAATAATAATGTCATTAAAGTCGCGCCAACTCAGCCAAGTTTGGGAACCGGGCTGGGCTGGCAAAGGGGCGCCCGGAGTGGGGTGACCTCATCCCTGCTCTCACCCAGGGTGTCCCGGACCAGACCTGGATTTTTAGGGTGCCCCTCCCATGTGTGAGGGTTTGCTTTGGGGTGCGCAGGGACACCCCGGCCCGGAGCAAGGTCGTGCCCCGTGCCCGCCCGGCTCGCTCCCCTCTCCCCCTCCCCATCGGCGGCACCGGCACGCGTGGACCCCCGGGGGGCTCACCGGATTTCGGGGGGTATCTGTAGACGGAATTAGCGGGGATATCCACTTCCTCCACCCCTGCGTTCTGCCGGCTGGTCAGAGCCCCCATGGCCGGGCCGGGGCTCAGCGGGCGGGGGTTGGCGGGGTGTCCTCCCGCCCGGGACCAGCACCGGGACCGGGACGGGGGCCGGGACCAGGGCTGGCGGCGGCCCCCGCCCGCAGCATCCTCCGCTCCGCTCTGCGCCGCGCCCGGCGCCGCCTCCGCGGCACCGCGGGGCTGCGACACACGGGGCGGGGCCGGGAGCGGCGACACGCCCCGACCCGCCCCGGAGCGGTCCGGCCCGGCCGTGGGGACGAGGGGACAGGCGCTGCCCCTGCCCCCCCTCGATCACCCGGTGTCCCCCCCTCGGGTGCCACTTACCTGTCCCCCGCGGTGGTACACGCGTGCCCACAGTGCCACCCGCCTGCCACCCCCCTGTGTCACACAGATGCCTCCAGCACTCCTCAGTGGTCCCCCTCGCCGTTACCTGCCACTCCCAGTCACACCACCCAGTGACCCCTGCCCACTCCAGTATCACCGCCCTCCTTGCCCCCATCCCCACCAGTGACACTGAGCAGCGCCCCCAGCCCGGGGACCCCCAGGGACAGTCTGGGCCCCTGAGGCTGGTTCAGGGCATGATCCCTCTGTTCCTGTGCCCCCTGCCGCTGGGGTGGCCCTTGGGAGAAGGACAAGCCCCCCCCTTTTCCCAGCAGGTCACAGGAGGAAGGAGTCGGTGCAGCTGTTGGCACAGGGGCTGATCCCCTCCAGGAGCACCCCAGGGCTGCACAGTGCTGGGGGGTGGAGTGGGGCAGGTTAAAAGGCCCCCACCAGTGCGCACCTCTGTCTTCCCCATCCTTCCCAGCTCCGCTCCGCACCAGGAGCAGCTGCATCTGCCAGGCACAGCCTCTGGAGGCAGGAGCTGCCTGTCCGCTCCAGTGCACCCCAACAGTTCCCCCCAGTTCCCCCAGCATTGTTACTGGGAAGCACTGGGCACTTCCTCATTTTCCCCTTGGAGCTGAAGGGGAAGGATGGACCCTTCGACCGGCTGCTTAAGCCCACCGGTGATTAATTAGTCCGGCAGCGCAAGTTAGTGGAGCATCACATGATTTTGATTTGAGTTGATAACACGAGTGCTATAAATATCAGACGGGAGATGTGCAGAGAGGCGGATCAGCTGCCTCGATGGCCTCGGCTGCTCAGTGGTGATGAGCAAAGGCTGTCCCCGGGGCTCCCCCCTTCACCCCCTCCCTGCAGAGGGACACACGGATCCCCCCTCCCCGACTGCTTCCTACACGCACAGCCCCAAAGGCAGCTGAGAAAAGCCAAAACAAAGAGCAGCCACCCACCATGGGAAGCCCAGGTGCGGCTTTGTACCCCCTTTGTCAGCCTGTCATTGTCACACCGGGAGCCACAGCCCCAGCAGTGACACTGTGTCCGTGCTGTCACAGGCATGTCACACCTGGGCTAGGTGCCAGTGGGAGCATCAGCCAAAGAAAAGGACTTGGACTCCATGATCTTAAAGGTCTTTTCCAACCTAAGTAGTTCTATGAGGGGCAAAGGGTGACATCAGCACCGGGAGCCTGCTCCAGCTCTCAGTGCTGGCACCCACCCGGGAATCCCGAGACCCCAGGGGCTGATCCCCGCTCACACCAACACACATTTTGGGGAGCCTGTTCTGGACATGAATCACTTACAAACGTAGCACATCCCTGCACTGCTGAGCTGCCAGCCCCGCTCCCCTGCCTCGCTCCAGCCAGCACTGACAGCGGGAAACACGAGCCTGGGAGAGGGAGCCAGAACATTTCATTACCGGCACACAGCAGACTGCAGGGTTTTAGTGCAGACAATAATTCAAAGTTATCCCCGTGCAGATCCACAGCCCAGCAGTCATTACAGGCAGAGCTGCTGCCTGCACGCAGGGCTCGTGTTTTTTTTCCCAGCGATTACTGCAGCAGAGGATTTTGTAGGACAGTGCCGCAGTGGAGCGCGGGAGCACTGGCAGGAGCTGGGTGGTGATATGGCTTCGAGGGCAGGTTCCCTCCCAGCTCTGCCCAGCCATATTCCCAGATCCCAGCAGACATAAAGCCGGGACAAACCCCACTGGGGCCAGAGAGGGAACCCAGAAAAAACACAATGTTTAACCCCAAAATGCACCTGCTGCTGGAAAAGAGGCAAGTCTGAAGCTCACACTGCCCCGCTGTGGGACTTGGGGTGTGCGTTTGGCAGGGAAGGAGGATCCTGCTCCTGCCTCCTTGTGCTGAGAGGGAAACTGAGTTACAGGAGAGCACAGTGGTTAAGGTTGAAGAGAAGAGTGAGCAGCTCATCCACAGCAGCAAACGTCTGTCTGTACACCCAGTCCATTCCCAGTGCACTCCCAGTTCCCCCAGCAGTCACTGGCACCTGCTGTGGAGCCACCAAGCCCTCTCCCCTCCCAGGTTGGCTTTGCTCCCAGCCTGTGCAGCCCCGCAGGAGGCAATGGCTGGGGAGGGGGTGTCCCTTCATTACTGGGTGCTGAGCCCACACGAGGGCTGCTGTGTCCTTTGTTCCCCAGCTCCTGGCTGGGAAGGTGCTGGAAGCCCCCCCTGCCTGAAGGGGTGACTCCAGACCCCTGGGGATCCCAGCTGGGTAGCTGGGGGGATGGAAGAGCATCTGGGCAGGAAGGGGAGAGAGCCAATCCTGCCCTTGCTGCAAGTGCTGCCCCAAAAAGGGGGTTCATTTTCGAGGACTGAAGGTCCTGCTGACTTTTCCAAGTGTCACAAACACTGTTTTGTCACAGCCTCGGATGCCAAGGGCTCACGAGAAGCACTCCAATGGGTTTCCCAGGCAGGCACTACACGAGGCAGGTTCCTCCCAGCTTTGCTAACTCAGCTCAAAGCTGTGCATGAGTGGGTGGTTTTGGCAAGCAGGAGGTTCTGAGAGCTCTCCAGGGCTGCGTGCAGGAGGCAGGTGGGTTTGGGATTCTGGCATCTGGAATTGCTCCTCTCACTCCTCCACCTGCCTCAGGGCTGGCTTTGCCCCAGGAGGATGAAGCCACCTCCAAATTCTCACCTGGGCAAGCAGGGCCCTCCGTAACCATTCCTGCAACCCGGTGAGTGGGATCCCCCTGAACATCCTGGGATGGTATCCAGCCTGGGGAAACACACACTGGCATTGCTTCTCCATCACATCCCTGCCTGCTGGACCTCACCTCCATGGGACCACAAGGGCTTTGCAGAAGCCCCACATGGACCCTCACACACCAACTGCTGCCTACAACTGGCTGCAGATGCTGCTTCAAGTTTCCACCCCTCCACCTCCCATTCCCTCTCCCTTGGCTGGCTGGTCACCACAGCCACATCCAAATCTGCAGTGGTTCTCTCCAGCTCAATATATTTTCACACCGTCCATTTGCAAAGTCCCTGGTTTGTTTGTTCGGGGTTTAAATGCCAATTTTCCTTTTTTAATTAAAACACTTCAAGGCACTTATCACACCGGTCCAGCTCAGTCCCCAAACCCGGCAGGGGGGAACACCCAGGGGGGGAGCTCACCCTTGCAGGCTGAGACTGAAGCTCAGAGTCATGAGAATTTTAACCATTACCAAAAAATCCCAATGCCCCCAAAACTTGGAGGTTCCCTGAGCCCCTCATGCTGAGGCTTTCAAAGGAGAAGGGCATGGAGATGAACTGAGGCTGGGTCCTCCCTCCTGCCCCCCAGCCTCAGGTTAGGGTCCCTGTCCCGGGGGATACAGGGAAGGAGGGCAGGGAGGGTGCTGGGAGAGCCTTGTTGAGGGAATGTGGGAGCCTTGCTGGGGGGAGCCAAGGCAGGGGGTTCCGGGGAAGCCCCCATGGGAGCAGCCCCCCCCTGCCCAGGGTACCCTCAGGGCAGCAGACCCCCCCTTCAATGAACTCCTACCTCAGTGAACCCCCTCCTTAATCAACCTTCCCTACAGTGAGCCCCCCTACCCTCAATGAAGCCCCCGCTCAACGAGCCCTCCCTACAATGAAATTCTCCCTCAGTGAACCCCTCTACAATGAGCCCCCCTTTCAATGAACCCCCTCTCAGTGAACTTCCTCTACAATGAACCTCCCCCTAAATAATCCCCCTAACAATGAACCCCCACTACAATGAGCCCCCTCCCTTGACAAACCCCCCTCTCAATGAACTTCCCCTACAATGAGCCCCCCTCAATGAACCTCCCCCTCAATAACCACCCTTACAATGAACCCCCCACACTGTGACCTCCCCCTACAATGACCGCCCCACAATGAACTCCCCCACAATGAGCCCCCCTCCCCTCAACGAACTCCCCTCTTAATGAACCTCCCTCTACAATGAGCCCCTCCCTCAATGACCCCTCCTACAATAAGTCCTCTTCCCCTCAATGGGCCCTCCCCTCCATGAACTCCGCTCTCAGTGAGCCTCCCCCTCCACGAACCCCCTACAATGAATCCACCCTACAAAAAACCCCCCTCCCCTCACTGCCCCCTCCAATGAACCCCCCTCTCAATGAACTTCCCCTACAATGAGACCCCTCTCAGTGAACCTCCCCCTCAAGAACCTCCCCTTTAAGACCTCCCCCAATGAACTCCCCCCCTACAATGACGTCCCCTCCCCTCTCAATGAACCTCCCCCTCAATAACCCCCTACAATGACCACCCCCCCCCCCAACGAGCCCGTCCCGCGCCTCTCAAT